TTATAACACGTTGAATTTATACTGCCTCTGGCACATGTTCATATATGACTGAAGGGACTTAGTATCATAGCAAATATTAATTAAAAAGGATGATGGCCTCCCTATACTTTTATAATTTGTATTCAATGAGAAAGGATTGGTTGTTTATATTCCATCAGGTTGGTGGTTTTATATTTTCTCAGTTAAGAAAATGGAAGTAAGATGACTTCAATCACACATGCTTCTAAAATAAATTAGCTTAATATTAGACTTGTAACTCTTTAATTAGGTAAGGAAAGTTTAGAGAATTAAAGCTGTGTATACGTTTAAGCAGTTGAAGCAGAAGTGAATTGGGTGCAGAATCATAGGACTAGATGAGGACTATGGCAGAAAGGAAAAATCTGTATGATTCCAGCAGTGTTTTGTATAAGTTCTGGCCCTGTTTAGTATAGTGGAAAAATAGAATCTAAAAGAATTACAACCAAAGATCAGGAGTATAGGAAGAGATGAAGAGGTCTGGATTTATTAGATGAGATTCATCTTCTGGGAAGTACAAGCTAATTGACCTAAGGAAGAATAATGAAAAAAAGATAGATGTTCACTAGGAGAAATGCATTAGACCATAAAGAGACCTAAGCAGCAAATATGATTTGAACTAGGAATGCAATATGGTAGCAAAATGGATTTTTGAGTGTATTCAGTATTCGTATGATTTGGGCAGTGAGACCCTCTGAGCATGACACAAGGGCTACAATGTAGAATAGAATATTCAGTTCTGGATATTTCATCAACAGTAACTTTTTACAAACAATAAATATACATGTAAAATAGAGCAGCAGAGAAGACAGGACAAAAACCCAGGGATATATCTTCAGAGACCATGTTGGCCATAGGAATGGATTGTGGAGAAAAAGGTGAAAATACCTGAGACCTATGAAAGAGCAAGCTTTTGAGAAAGTAAAGGAAACTCAAATGCCTATGTCTCATGCCAAGTTTTCAGTTTTCTGTGGAAAAATGGGAAAAAATTATGGATTTTCACATTTAACTGAGAGAAAATGCAGAATTTTCATTTTAACTTGGTAACACATAGATTTTTGCACTTTTGCGAAGAGCTCTCTGCAGGCTGGCAGCATTCCAGCCCAGTCCAGGTGATGTGGGAGGCTTGGGGCCTTGGTCTGGAATGTGCGGCTGCAGGGTCTCCTCCAGGAGCAGGATGGAGCCGTGGATGGCTTGGTGGGGCTGGCTTCTCACTGCTCCATGCACTCCCAGGGGGCAGACAGGTGCCCCCCAGATCTGTGTGCAGGGCAGACACAGGCTGCCCACTGCAGACTTGGGCTCCCCGCCCTGCTGCCCTCCCCCTGGGGCCTCTGTGGCCCAGCTGGTGGGACACAGTGTGGCAGGGCAGGGCAGGGGGCAGGGAAGCTCCTTGCTGCTGCAAGCCTTGAACTGCCCCAGTGAGGCACCCCTTGCATGTTTGGCAGCAGCAGGGGTGGCAGTGCAGAATTGTGCCCCTTGCTGCTGCCAGGCGAGCAGGAGGCACCTTGCTTTGGTAGCATGGAGCTCCCAACAGCAGAGAGTTTGCCCACTCTGCCCTGCTACGCTGGGTCCCACCCACTGGGCTGCTGAGGCCCCAGGGAGAGGGCAGCAGGCAGGAAGCCCGCAGCAGGCAGCCTGTATCCACTGTTCCCAACAGGCTGCACTCCTCCAGCTATGCCATCCATGAGGGAGGGCGAGCTGGGCTCTGTGCTTTGCTACAGCAGCTGCTACCTCCTGCAGGCAGCAGCCAGGGCTCGGGTACCGCTGCGGCGATGCAGGGGGCTGTGGACATGGGTCCTTGGCCCCATTGCCCTGGCAGTTGGGGGTGCCCTCTGACAGAGCTGGGGGGCTGGGAAGCATGGGACTGAGTGGGGAGTGAGGGGCACCAGCAGGGCTAGAGGGCTGTGGGTTGGGAGTGAGGGGCATCTGAAATGCTGGTGCACTGTGGCTTGGGAGTGAGGGCCCTGGATCTGTCTTGGTGAGCAAAGAGGGCAGGGAGAGCTCTGATTTTTTCCATGATAAAAAAACCCCCAAAATCAAATGCCAAAATGTATAGATGTATAGAATTTTTTCTATTATAGTGATTAAGGCACTAGTTGGCTTCTAAATTGCTTTAAAATTATATATCAATAAAACGTTGTATTCAGTACACACACGTGCACACGCATTTCATTTTAATTGTGGATTTTAGAGGTGCACTGATACATTGATTCAATATTGGATCAGTGCTGATATAAAGAAAATTGGCTGTATCAGAAATTGGCCTGATGCAGCTGATTAATTTGGCCAATAAATGCCCATGCATGTGCATTTCAGAAGAGCTGGATAATTGGTGTGTGTGGTAGCAACAAAATCTACCTCAGCCATTATTATGAAGAAGAGAAGAGGAAAATATAAGCATGAAGGGGTGTATGGAGTGAGGTTGAGGTCATGATGCTTGGAGAGGTTAATGGGAGGGGTCAGAGCAAACACTACAGGGAGAGAAAATTCAAATTTGAAAACTGAAGAAAGCAGTTTGACACTATTTTATACAGTTTTCACTGCTTTTGCAAAATGCGAATTCCATTCAGGTTTAGTACCCAACAGGTTATGTCATATATAAGACTTTGCAAGTTAAACCTGCAGGTCATTCACTTGAGATTTAGGCTTTCTTTGATCCTCAAAATATAGATCTCATGCAATAACAAATCTTCTGCTTGGTTTCTGCCATACAGTATTTCTGCAGTGGAGGTAATTGCAGGGCAGAAACAAAATATAGATGCACTTAGTTATTTGGTAAAACTGAATATTAAAAATGACCATAGCCTGCCAATTTGGCTTAATGCCAGCATACCTAAGACACAATTAAAGTATAAGTTATAGATCTAAAACCTCTATAGACCCTAAAGGTACCCTGTAAAACTGAATCATGTTTGGCCTATTGCTAGTATTCCTCTGCTCTCACAGTAATTTCAGTATAGTTCTTGATATCCAAGACTAGAACTCGAAGAACATGCCTAAAGACTCTTTTTTTAACAAACTACCATGTCAAACTCAGTACACAAGTAAGCTTTAAGTTTATGGTAAGTGTATGAGTCTTTTCTTGAGAATGTGCCCTCCAGAGTTATCAGATTTGGTATGCTTTGTTTTTAGCATCTAGAAACAAGTCTAGGTTTTTGACTGGTTTCGGATTCATTTGGGAGACCAGCTTAACTTCCCAATATTCACATCTCACATCGCATTGCCCTTGTAGAACAGTGGTCCTCAACACATAGCAGCTATTCCAGAGGTTGCAGGTTCGAGGCCATAGCTGAATTGCTCACAGTGTGGCCATGTCACATTCCAACAAATTTGCGAATTTTGCTAAATACCTTGTCACAAGGACATGGCCATGAGAAGGAATGAAGTAGTCCTGAACCTTTTTAGACTAAAGGCATCCTTTGGAAAAATACCAACTCATTTTTGGCTTTGGAAAAGTAATAGAGCATTTTTTCTGTTCCAGGGATTCCTAGAAAGATCACAATAGCTCAAAATGTCCTTAACCTTATGAGTTCTTATTTGACATCTCTGGGTTTATCCAGTGAATCATATTTGTACACCGAACAGTGATAACATTGTATTGTACCCTGCAGCACCCTTGAAAGGATTTCAAGGTGCATCCCAAGGTGCTGTGGCTCTCTGGCTGAGAATCAGTGTTGTAAAGTACGCCAAAAAGGAATGCAAGACTAGACACTGATTAGATTAAAACTACACTAAAGGCTGTAGATATGCCTGGTTAGCAAAAGCTACTGTTTTTCTTCTGTAGGAAACTGAATAGATATGAGATATCTAAGAAATTTCAGCTTTGCTTACATCAGTAATATTTTTAATTGGATTGGATTGAAGTTCTTCTTGGGACCTTGTGTGCATGTTTTTGAAGACAAACTGATACACCCCCCCCACCCCCGGCGCTTCCCTTCCTGCTTATAGTTTCCTTACCATCAACACTTGTTTGTTCCCCATGTCCCTTCCTCTCTTTAGCTGGTCTTTTATGGCCATGCCTTAGCTGTTGGTTGAGTAGTATAATCTGCACTCTCCTTCACGGAGCAATAATTTGGCATAATTTCTACTAGCCTTGGTAGTGAGCAAATGGGAAAAAGAATGTACACTTGATTCCCAGAGAGCTTTTCTTTTAAGCAAGGAATACTGGGGGCAGAAAAGGTGAAAAAAGAGGTCAAGTTAGAGGTGTTTTGCTCAATCTTCCATCAATTATTGATGTAGCCTTTTTTGCTCCCACTTCCTCCTTACCTTTAAAAGATGATCTTGGAGTGTAGCTTCCTTTGACTTTACTGCTGTATATTTCAAAATGGAGGATTCTAATGGAAACTGGCAATGCCCTAGCCTCTGTTGCCTGTCCAATGAGGAGGTGCTAGGACATAAAGCAAGTGCAGCTGAAGCTCCAAGTAATTCTTGGTGTATGGAACCCCTTAGTATGATGCTGTTTAGGAATTGGGGGTGAGGGGGAATTTTGCTATAAACAGCTAGCATGCTTCTTGAAAACAAAGGCATCTGATTCTCAGATCTCATAGACAATGCAACTTATTGCCAGCTGAATCATTTGGTTAGCTCAGTAAAGTCCGTTATAAGCATGTGAATAAAATGTAGATGCCTTACTGGCTAAAAAACTTGAGAAAACAAATTTATTTGAAACGGTTTTGTAATACAGTACTTGCATGGCAAAACGTTTGGTCATCTGAGATCTGATGTTAATGGGAAGTAAACAGTGGTTTTTATGTTCTCATCTCTCAGAATCTTTGAACAAGCTAGTGACAGTGAACAAGGTTTTCAGTCGTAGAAATGCACTTCTCATTTTCTGACCTAAAGTATTAAATAAAACTATAAAACTCCCTTAAATTATCACTGCATTTTTAAATCTTCAATTTCTAGCCAAGTAAACTTTGATCTCTTTCAGATATTGAACTATATTTATTCTCAAAACTCCCTTGTATGTTTCTGACTACTTATAGCATCTTTCATCAGAAGAAAACGACCACAGTTCTTGTTACAGCCAGTCAGATAGTCAGTATGGTTCTCCTCCAAAGGGTTGGTCAGAAGAGTTGGATGAACATGGTCAAACCTTATATACCAATGACTATACTAATGAAAAGGTACATTTTCCTTTCTTCTCATCACTTGTAGTCTAAATCTTTAAAGTTAATTATCTCTATTAATATAAGTTTCTATTTTAGTGGTAAAGCTTTTCTATAATGCTGGCTTCCTTTATTCTTCAATGAGTACAGAACTTTGGCAACTGAACCAAGTTTGTCCTGATGTATGCCATACCTATGTGCTGTGAAGATGTTTTTCCTACTGATAGCTCTAAAATTGGGACATCATATACAATTTAAACAAACATGCATTGCATCATTTTTTTATCCTCTTGTGATGCTATAGGGAAGTGCTTCTTGCCAGTGTTTTGCCTTGTAGTACAGAAGAGTTCTTCATGCATAATGAGCCATTTTATTAGTTTGTTTATTTAATCTTGTAAATTTTTTCTTTGAGAAGCAGCAAAATTTAGTCATTGGAGCACAGCAGCATCAAGAGATGTGTGTTTTGTTTGTTCTTTTTCTACCATTGACTCATTGTGACAGAGCATTTTACCTATCAGTTTTCACATCTATAAAATGGGCATATAGCTTTCCCCCCATTTTGTAAAACAAGTTTGTAATCTTGTCCTATTGTGTTCACACTAATGCTGGTATTGAGTTTGATTACTTTTTTAAAAATGGACAGTGAGGAAAAAATAAATGTATTTAATGTCCATGGAATAGGTATGCTTCTGTAATATACTAATCTACAGTAAAGTTGTTGTTTTTTTTTTAACTGCAGTATTTAAATTTGAAAGCTGTTTGTTTTTTTAAGACGTGATAATTTTTAAGGTGATTCGTATCTCTTTGTAGAACATGTCCTGTTTGTTGCTTTAGTTTCTAAAAACTTGCGTGGAAGTAACTTCTGCATTAGATTTATTTTAGAAATGTTCTGAATTTTACTGTGAACAGATCATTTTCTTATTCAAATTTCTTTCAACTCTGCTTGAGATTTAGCTAAGTAATGTTGTATAACATTATAAACTTACATTGGACTTTATAGTAAAATGCCTTCCCTAATGCACAGAATATGTGTTCATGGGTTGAAGGACATACCTTTTGAACATCTCTTTGCCAGTTTATAAACAGACTTTTTTTTGCTAGGTCTCTTCTTCCTCTGTAAAACAGAAAAAATGCACTATTTGTTTAGAGCGGTGGTTCTTGAGCATTTTTGTACCAGAACCCATTTGTAAATATCAGCGGCTAGTCCTGACCCAGTACTTGTCACTCCCAACCTGCTGCTCCCTACCCCCAGGCCACAGCGGCCCCAAGCAGCTTCTTGAAGGCTGGAACTCTGGCAACCTGAAAGGGACAAGCCATAGTTTCCCATGTTTATCTCCTTTTAAAGGAGAATCCATTTTTTAAGTTTGTTTGTGACCCTTTCATATATTCTTGTGACCCACTTTGCAGTCATGACCCACAGGTCTAGAAATGGTGGTTTAGAGGGCTCCTTCTAGGTGTTAGAAACGCCATTACATTTTTTCATTATTTGATTAAGAGCAATATCCATGTTTTATAAATATCTTATTGATACTTTTGTAAATATTTTATTGTCTTTTTGTGCAATAGTATCTGAAATGCTCTACAACTCATTTATTAACTTTACAGGAACCTTGATTGAGCTCGTGGCTGTCCTGTACCTAATTAAATAATAAGGTTATCATAGAATCAGAGAAAGTTAGGGTTGGAAGGGACCTCAGGAGGTCATCTAGTCTAACCCCCTGCTCAAAGCAGGAGTATCCCCAACTAGATCATCCCAGCCAAAGCTTCGTCTAGCCTGGTTCAGTGTTTTACTACTCTCCTAATGAGAAAATTCTTCCTAATATCTAACCTAAACTCCCCTTGCTGCAACTCAAGACCATTGCTGCTTGTTTTGTCATCTGCCACCACTGAGAACAATTTAGCTACATCCTCTTTTGAATACCCCCTTCAGATAGTTGAAGGCTGCTATTAAGTCCCCTCAGTCTCCTCTTCTCTTGACTCCCTCAGTCTTCCCTCATAAGTCACGTCCCCCAGCCCCCTCATCATTTTTGTTATGCTAGACCCTCTCCAATTTGTCCACATCCTTTCTGTAGTGAGGGCCCAAAACTAGACACAGTACTCCAGATGTGGCCTCGCCAGTGCTGGATAGAGGAAAATAATCACTCCCCATGACCTACTGGCAACACACCTACCAATGCAGCTCAGTATGCCGTTAGCCTTCTTGGCAACAAGGGCACACTGATAAGTTTCTGTATTTAGTTCTCAATGCTTTTTAAACTTAACATTTTAAAGAGTACCATATATTTTATTTTATTTTGTTTGTTAAATCCACTTTTAACCCCTTTGCTCACCTAACAAACTCAACTCAATCCAGATTTTCACTAGCTGTGACATAACAGGGCACTGTGCTATAGGGATGACAGGAGAGAAATTCACAATAAGTTACTTGAGGGGGTAGGTTTTGAAAAAATGATAATTTTATGCCCTTATTGTTTGTTGGTGTTGGTAAATTGATGGGGGGTGCACAATGGAAATATTTTGAAAGTAAAACAGTCAAATTTCCATTTTTACTCGAAGCTTGATGCTCTGGTATTTAGCTGCTTGTCATTATTATTGAATTTTCTATTATTTATTTCTGCAGTGGATAAAACATGTAGATGAACAAGGTAGACCATATTACTACAGTGCTGATGGATCACGTTCAGAATGGGAACTGCCAAAGGTTAGTAAAAATTACAAAAATGTCCTGATAACTCATTTTTCAATATAAATTCATAGAAATAGATGTGTAGTTAAGAATTCACAACAGAAAGCAGGTGGCTTATTCTTTACTTATACTTATTTTTAACATTTCTTTTTGTGAAGGCATTCATTGTAGTGAATAAGACATCAGACATAATTGGATATAACAGTGTCAGAAATGTTTTTTAACATCTGTACCTAAATGTGCATATGCTGACATTGCTTTTTCTAATGCACTGAAGAATAATTGTCTAGAAGAGGAGCAGAAATATAAACTCGACACATTCTCCACTAAACTAATATAATTTCAGCTAAGAGAATATAAAATTAATTTCCCATCACATTTTTCTGAACCTAATTATTTAAGTTATATAGGCTTCAGTTTCCTTTTGAGGAGGGATAGAAAACAGAGAACTAATCAATAGTTCTTTAACATTTTTGGGATGTTACCAGTAGAATTTCACCTGAAATTTGTTTTGGTTTTCATTTGATTTGACATGAGAGTTCAATTTTTTTCCAATAGCAGTGAAAATTAAGAATACTGAAAAAGTGTTATGGATAATTTCTAATTAGAGTATGTCAGTCTTTATAGAGAATGATTTCAAGGTATTTATAAAATAAGCTATACTTTTTAAATATTTGGTTATACAGAAAGCATCCACCATTGGGTCTTTAAAGAACCTATATACTTGGATGTGATCAAACAGAGTTTTGGATTTTTTATTTTAACTCGTATAGTCAGCTATATGGGCAGCTGTGTTACTAGTGAGTTCTGGATTCGTCTGTTATAGTGAACCAGAGAGATATTTCTTTAATTTTGTGATCAAGTAGAGATCCAGAGTTTTGTGACGGCTCATACCTACCAATATCCTTAATTATATTGTTTAAGAATAAGAATAAATTATTGACCAACTGTTTCCTTTTATGGTGCTTAGTCTGATTAAATATGATCAGATAGGCTTTGTCAATCCTGTCAATTTGTTAGTAATGTAGATAAATTGGAGAAGTAAAGCATAAGCTGGTGTATTCATTCTGGAACTTTTTTAATGCAGAGAGAATGAGCTGACAGTGGAGTGAACTTGAACTTTGTTTTGGTTTAGGGTCTGAGTTAGACAAAGTTGATACTATTAACTCTAATCCAACAGCTGCAGTTTACACTGACAGTGCAACAGTAAGTTAGCTTAAAAAACAGCGGGGAAAGAAAAGTGGTATTGGGAAGGGTATCTTTGTAGTGTTTAGATTCTAGAGGTACACTGTATCTGTCCAAAGTAAAAATAGTCTCAGAGCTTGCAGCTTAAATTTTCCTTTATCTACCTTGCATTAATGAACCTTCTGGGATTTCTCTTGGGGCTCTGCCACACATTACAATTATGGCATGATTAATGTGTTAATTGTACCATAAATTGTAACATGCTACACATGTACCCAAATTTATGGTACTATAACAGGGAAAGCTAGCCACAGAGATGGTCCACATTTGATATGGGACATCTTTTGTGGCTGGTTTGTATTGAACCTTAAACTGAACATGTAGCATGTGTCTAGTAGATCTGGGACTGCCCTGTAATGCAAATATGGCATGGCAGGACTTGTGACTGTTGAGCTCAAGGGTCAGATCCCATCATGCCATTAAATCAGGGGCGGGCGATTATTTTCGGCAGAGGGCTGCTTTCTGAGTTTTGGCAAGCCATCAAGGGCTGCATGACAGGCAGCCCAGGGCAGATTAATATTAATTTTCTAAATTTTTTAGGGGCTCTGAGGGCTGGATAGAATGGCTTGGCAGGCTGCATCTGGCCCGCAGGTTGTATTTTGCCCACCCCTGCCTTAAATGAACATCTGATCCCTGAGAAACATTTGATCGAAAAAGAAAGACCAGCTGAGAAAAAAATAATGGATATTGGAAGTGGTGTCCTAATATATTAGGAGCAATACAAACAAATATCCAAGATGAGAAGAACTAGCTTAAAACTGAAATAATGCTACTGTTCAAAATAAATTAAACTTCTGAATTACTTCTGGGGAATTTTAACAGGGTCTCAAACATCCTCCTGTAATAGAGCTAAAGGACCAGACAGTGAAATGGATAATCATTCAGATCTGTTTATATTGAGCCTTCCATGGGATTCTAATGTTGCCTCATAGATTCATAGATGTTAGGGTCGGAAGGGACCTCAATAGATCATCGAGTCCAACCCCCTGCAT